ATCCCCATTCAGTGATGGATACTGTGCATAACTTAGAGAAGAAAGTGTTTGTGCTGACATTTCTCAACATAAGAAGACTTTTTCTGAGCAGACTCTCTACCTCGCATGTAACGTTGCATCTCCCCATACTCTGGTGTGCCGAAAGATCTGGAAAATGTGTAAACTTAGAAACACTGATGTGGTCCCATGCTGTTCTTGTGAAACAGCTGGTAATAGAGCTGTATTAATTGATGTAGTAGGTGAAATAATTTTAATGCTTAATCAGTAGGAAAACCTTTCTAGTACAGTTAAACTTTGACTACTAATATCCTAACTAGTGAATCAAAAGTTAATTTTGACTTGCTACTATTCATATAGAAAGTGACTTTAGTGTTATCAAAGTATCCACAGTGTGTGTCTGCCCTTAAGACATTTCAAGCGCAGATGGTGTGTGGAAGAGGTAGGTGTGTGGTTTCTCAGTTATGCCATATGGCTTTATTCGAGAAAAAACTTCCAAGTCGTTTGACTTCTGCTCAAAAGGGCCAATGTCCTTTGTTTGCTGTCCTTTTTCTGTCCTAAGCGCAGACTGATTTTGTGGCTTCAGACTGATAAGCCAATGTCTCGTTTGGTTTCTAAACTGGATAGCTACCAAATTTAAAAATATAAAAACAAAAATTGTTATGACTGTACCACTGCTGGGCTGTGTTACTCATGAATGCCCACACCTTTCCATATGGTGGACGGATTCCTTTCCAGTGGCTGGTGTTGTACATCTGTTCAATCTTAATAACATGCATATGTCTTCTGCCTTCAGGATGAACTGTTTGTTTTGCCTGGCATCTTCCCCCCCTTTCTCTTACTCCTTTTGTTAGGTGCTGCATAAATAGTAAATAAAGCAGCTAGCTGTGCCCAGAGGACTTTTTGTGAGTAGCCACATGGGCAGCTTGCATCCTTTTTCATGGATGGGAGTCCATGTGCTTCACTTCCAAAACTTAATAGGAAGCAAGACGGACCCTTCGACGTAGATGACAAGGGCAACTAAAATATATGATGCGGGTCGTTTCGTTTGGAGTTTTTGCATATTCTGTACAAAGTAGCTGGTAGATTCCTGTCCTGATAGAGAACATCAGCACTCCAGCACACTTTCTAATGGTATTGGGAAGTATTTTTAAAAAGTACTCTGTAAATTTCAAGAGATTCAAACACCTGTGTGACTTGTTAACTGTTTCCTGTTGTCCTGCCTCTCAATGTGTTCAAAACATTAAGGAAAAGCTATGATTCCCTGAAGCTAGATCTCAGCTGGCTAGCTGAGCAAAACCCGTGTTTTCTGTAAAGCAGAGTATGTAAAGTGGTGTGAAAGCATCACTGTAAGTCAGACGTATTTCTGCTTTCTGTCTCTTAGAGCTGGAAGCTGGTGGGAATGCTTTGGAGGCTCTGGAAATGTTGGTATAGTTATGTTGGACCCTGTAAAGATGGACCACAACATGTTGGTAGGGTTGTGACTGTGGTTGAAAACGGTCCCGTTATGTTACATCCAAGCAGTACAGGTGAAGAGGGTCCTGTGTGCCTTGAGGTTTGGTGTTTGTTATCAGCACCATATCACGAAGTGGGAACAGGGCTTTCATGTCCTGTGGAACTGTGAGCAGTTATGGAAAGTCACTGCTGAAAAACTGCTTGTGTCAAGTGTGGAGCCCTAAACTTCTCTCCCGTTCCTGCCACAACCCTACGTACATCCCAGAACTGCCACATTTTAAGACATCGGGTGAACTGTACAGAGCACCGTAGAAGATAAGCCTTCAAACAAAAATACATTTTCAGCTTCAACTATACGATGATGTCTGATGTTGTTAGGTTTCCCAACCGAGTGTGTACGCAGGCTGGCCAACCCTAGCGCTTTGGGTGATGATAAACTGCTCTCACAACAAATGAGCACAATTAACTGAACATCTTGCATCACATCTGAAGCACAGGGGCAGATGGAGTGCACGTTCCCATGGACTGACCCCCCCGTCAGGTCTACTAGTGTTGGCAACTATGAGCATGTGAGAAGTGATTGTTAAAAGCTGCTGAAATGATAGCTTCTTTATGTAAAAATAAATAAATAAATCTCGCTGGCTGTATGCAGCGTCCACTCTGCTTTTGGTGGAGCTATTCTGCTATAATAACCAGTTGATTCAGCAAATCCTCTTACCATGTGCTTATATTCTTGTCAGCACGTTCAGGTTTACTTAGCACATACTAATTGCACCTAGGTTTAGTGCACGGTTGACCTTAATGCTCTGCTGAATCATGGGCTGCGGCTGCATCACTGTCTCTGTCTTTTGTTGGATGTAACTCCGTGCACTAGAAAAAGCTTGGGGGGAGTGGTATTTAAGGGATCACATCAGATGCTTCAAACGGGAGGAAAGCAAATGCTACTGAACAAAGGCATGTTTGATCCAGGACTGGAAAAAGGCTTTAAAAGCCTTTCTAGACTTCTGCCTGACCTCTGGCTCAGGTACTCTTAATATAGATGAAATCTGAGAAGCACTCAGAGCCTCAGGTTGAAGCGTCATAGATGGTGTTTTATACTTGTGGTGTTTTCCAGAAATAATTTTCTAAAGAATAATACCAGTATTGAACTGTTAATTTTGGAGCAATAACTGCTAATGCTGGGTTGCTCACCCATTGTGTTTGGAACTTTCCTTGGCCCGGTATTTAAAAAATAAACAAAGTTATTTTAAGCTTCAGCAAAATTGAAGAAGCAACCGTGTCAAGTCTGAGTGTCCCCTGCTGCTCTCTTTGTTTGTGGTGTAGGAAGGGGGAACCCTTCTGATCATCTCAGTAATCAGATACCAGTAATTCTCTGAAGCCCAATTCAGCAAGCCTGCCTCATATTAACTTCCATATCCTGAAAACAGCTAAGTTATCTGAGAGCCACCTACACAGCTCTCAATTACATTTGTTTCTGATGGTGTGTCTCGGTGGCTTAACCATAGTACCATACTGTGTATTGGAATTAGTAAAACAAGAGTGTTTCAAACCTAATTGTACATATAAAAGAAGGGTGAGTCTCGTTCATCCATATGCTTCTTTAATAGCAGCTTTTTGGGTTCCCAAAAAAGGGGACCAGGGGCTCTGGAGAGAGCTCCCTGTGGAAAACATTCTGGCACCAGCCCTACCAAACCAATTCTGGTGATTGCCACAGTACGGTCAGCTCCAGGTACAACTGCTGCAGGCTCTCAGGAAACTGGTTATCAAACATGATGGGCTTTTTCTTCTTGTTAGCCCGGTCTTAGAAACCAAGGGCTCAGGGGTTGTGTGAGTGGGGAATTGGGTTTTTTCCCCCCAGTGATGCGGGCTAAAACTGAACTGAGGAAGAACTTCCCCTGCACACTCTTCCCCTTCTCCCTCCCTAAATAAACACTGCATTTCAGGGAAATTGCAGGAGCTGGCAGTGCCATTCTTCAGACTACCCAGCAGACTTCAAGTGGATCTGAAGTCAGCATCAAGCATGACAGCACTGTGGATGCTCAAAGTATAAATTACTTTACCCAAAAAAGGGATTCATGCGATAAGTATCTTTCATTTTGATTCTGAATCAGACTCATGAATCTCTATATATTGTGTAGTGTTTCATGATGTGAGCTAATCATTTCTTTTTGAGTGTTGAGGTCAATCCACAGTACTTATGTCATAGGATCAAGGACTAACTTAGATTAGCAAATAAAGTGGCCAAATGTTCATGAGACGTTGGTCTGGGGGGGGTGGCGGGGGGGAGGAAATGGCAGGCCTTTTTTTTTTTTTTTTTTTTTTTTTTTTTTTAAATTGCCTTATGAGCAAC